AAAACAATTTGCATCGACACAATGTTATAGAAACGCGTTCAAATGATATTTACAAACACCTACAAGGAAAAATCTTGGTTGTTATTCTAACCTTATAAATCAACATAGTCATTACACGTGAGTTTTTTAAATATTATTGTGTCTACGTCGTGGCTACTACAGACCAAGAATCAAGTTACAACGCAGAAACTTATACGAACCTTGAAGTAAAATATGCATCGGATCAAGTAACACTTGTAGCGTAACATCGAAATTGGGTAATTCGGCAAATATACTACGATTATTAATTCCATAGAATTTTCTCCATATTGCTGTTGTATTTTCATCCCCATTTTTTACACATTCTTCAATAAATTTGCACGCTTGTTCGTAATCCAGATTTGTGTAATGTGCTGGTAATTGATCAATGTTGTCTTTATAATCATCATTTGTGACATTGCAACATGGACAAAACTTCAACGCTGATACTGATTCTTTTCTTCCATGTAGTGCTTGTTGTGCTGGGTAATCTCCCAACGTGAAAAACAATACCACTTGATAAACTTTGCTAGTACCGCTGATAACAACATCAACACCATCTTTAACCATTTTTTGTAAACTGTTGACAAAATCACCTACAATAAATGTAAAAGTAGCGAAGAAAGAACGTACCAGCGGTGAAGACCGCATATTAGTGAGTGAGAGAGAGTGCACAGTAGTACACTAACAGCTAAATCTGTAGTGTTATTGTCGCTGGCAACAACTCATTTAGATTGTTTTGGGCATGGTAAGTTCGAGGAATGTAGCCGGTTCTCTACCAAAGATTCAGTTTTAAGAGACGATTCGACAGCGAATCAAGCATGCCATCACAAGAAAAAGTTAACATACATTTTTTATGTTTTCATTCGATTCTACGTATCCAACTGTGATTATGAAAAACGTTTTATACTTACATACCTTCTATTGGCCAATTTATAGAATTTTTAAAATAAGTCAGTTCCTAGGGGAAACAGCGGTATTAATACCGAAAAAACCGCCACGTTGAATCTGATGGCAACGTTTGGTTTTATGTAAGAAGTAGAATAGAGAAAGTAGGAACTAATTTTTTGTTGGCAGAAAAACTCGTCGGCTAAGATATCGAACGTTTTTCGAAAAGTAGCTGAATTTCGGAAAAACGACAGCTTTCAATTTTTGAATTTTTTTCCTAGAACAAGTGAATAAAAAGATTTTTCTTGAAAATAGTCTTTACCAATTTTTGAAATTAGTCTATGCCAATTGCATAAGGATAACTAGGGGTATGTGTAGAAGTTTCTTAGACAGTATCTGTTTTGGAACATATCAAAGAAGATGAAGGACATTTCATTCAAGTTAACTACATAACATTGGTAATCCATTGCCGAATCAAATCAAAACTTCTTGAAACGTTGTTTAAACATATTAAATTTATGTTTGTCAATGTATTCTACAGAAGTTGATATGCTCTATTTATTGGTGGAAGCCGCATCTCAAACCATTGCTTTGTTCAAAAGCATTATTTTATGGAACTAAATCCTACCATTAAGATGCAGTAGGAAAACCATCTCTTTTTATTTTGTCTAAAGCTAGGACCAAACAAATATCATATTCTGATGAGACAAGAACTACAAATATAACATGATAGTAGCTTGGAACAAGAGGGGGGCAGATTTCGATCCTTATCCGGCGCAGTCCTTTATGTGAAGCAATTAACGAGCCGTGTTACAAGATCTTTCAACAGCAGAGATTTCATCACTAGTAACGTTGGAATTACTACTATCTATTTCAATAAGCAATGTAGTCCGTTGTAAGTTGACTAACTCCGGCCAGGAAGTAGCTAGAGACCTGCAGTTTCTTAAATTTCTCATTAAGATGAGACGTCGGCCAGCTCTACATGGTCTTACTTTGCAGAGTTATAGAATTTACAGCAATACGAAGAAATTATTAAGAAGATTCACAAATTTGTCTGTTCGATTTTTCTTTAGCCATTATCAATGATACGGCTAGTGTCGTCCGGTACTTGGTACTTGTCCTGACGGGGTTAAAACTGATACTTTATGTGTTGAAAAAAGAAACCACAGCAGATCTTAAGACAGTTTTGCTTCGTGCCGAGGCGGAGGAGGAGCGGGAAGTTGAGGTAAGTTACGGATGCTTTTAAAATACTCAGAGTTGATATGCACATGAAATTTTAGAACATATTTATGGAAGACGAATCAACATCAATAATGCTCGATGAATCAGAAAATGACGTATATTAGTCAAGTTTACTACCAAGGTTCAATCTAGTTATTACAGAAGTGACCAATTAGTCGGACATATCAACGATAAAAAAATTTGTTTAATTTTTTGTTAGTTTTTTAAGAAGTTTCGGTGAATAAAGACAAAAAGAATTTCTTTAAATTCGTTTGATCTTTCACCGAGGTAAGATTTGAATGAAACTAGAATGACACTGACAAGAACGGCTTACTTGATGCTTTTTCACTAATCAAAGGTTAACAAAAACATTTTATCAAAATTCAGATAATGTCAAGGATAAGGTATGTGTGTTACTTGCTTTACTTAACTACTTTCTGCTGATTTTTAAAGCTTTTATTGAACTTTATAGTATTGAGCAGATAAAATAGATTGATGTCTTGATGTTCTGACATAACTTGGATGGGTCTTGTTTGGATGTATTGCAAAACATTTCATTCCCTAGTTGTATAGATAAAAGTATTCCGTTCCTTATCTTCAATGCATATAAAATTGATCTTTGATATTGTCTATCAAAATTCGTGGTTAATTCTATAAATGTCATTCATTTTAAGACTCAAATTTGGCGTTTATAAATTAGTTCAAAGCGAATATTATATGAGAAGGGAAAAGTAACCTAGAAGAATGAATAATTTTTGGAATTGAATAAAATAAAATGGAATATAAATTGTTCAGAAAACAACATATACATTGAATCTTCTAAGGGCTGTGTTTGAAATAAGATCATTCACATATAATCTAGACTACTTTCAAGCAGAAAGAAAGTTATATTATTGACGATATAAGCCTAAGCAATTGATATCGCAGATCTGATAATAATGAATTAGGAGGATGAATGAGGATGAATTGGATGAATTAGAAAATGATTCAAAGTTTCATTAGCGCAAAATCGACTTTTTATACGGAGGACAGAATCGGCTCAAATTTTTTTTCTGGAGAGCTTATTATATGAATCGACGGTCAGCAAGTATTGGTTTCTAGATGTTGAAATGCATGGAGCTATTAATAATCCGTCGTTATGGCTTCATTATTCATGCATTTCAAAGCGTGGTACACTTGGAATAAGATGGATATCACGCAGTGATCAATTCAACTTGGCTACAATGCATATTGATTTATCATCAGCTTCGCCAGACATCTACCACTGGCAGCAAGAAACAACAGCTATTCAACGTTTTTTATCGTCTGCTGAACAAATTGAACAAGAAAGATTTGGTGAAGCATTATCATTAGTGCCGACACATCCATTATACAGCCAGTAAGTTAAACCACGTTGTCTCTTTATAAGCGCGTTACACTAGTTGTATTTCTTTCTCTTATTTTTTCTTTTTTTACAATACAGCTTTAATCTTTTCTTTCTCTACTAGTCCGTTTGCTATATCAAATGTTAAAATTGGCATCAATGGATTTGGTCGTATTGGTCGACTTGTATTTCGATGTGCACTTGAACAAGCTGTTCAAGTAATTGTTGTCAATGGTTAGTAGTATATTCTTTGAAGTGACCGATTTGTCGACGAAACGGGAATATACCTTACATTTGATTCTTTATATGTCTTTTAAAATATATCTTTATAGATCCATTTATTTCTGTTGATTATATGGTTTATCTGATTAAACATGGTTCAACACATGGTAAATTTCTATGTGACGTTTCACATAAAAATGGAAAACTTATTGTTAATGAAAATGAAATCAGCGTCTTTACTGAGTAAATATTTTAAAAATTAGCAAATTTAGATATATCATTTTTGTTCTATTTTTAGAAAAGAACCATCAAAAATTCCATGGGGTCAACTCAGTATATTTTTGTCCTTGAATAATGAGCCATTGATTTCTTTGTTTTTCTTTTTAAGGTGCCGAATATGTTGTTGAATCAACCGGTGTATTTACAACAGTAGATAAATGTCAACCACATATACAAGCTGGTGCTAAAAAAGTTATCATTACAGCTCCATCAGCTGATGCTCCAATGTTTATTATGGGAGTTAATGAGGAGAAATATACAGGAAAAGAAACAGTTTTTTCAGTTGCATCATGTACAACAAATTGTTTAGCACCACTTGCTAAAGTTGTTCATGAAAAATTTGGTATTGTTGAAGCTTTAATGACAGCTGTACATTCATACACTGCTACACAAAAAATTGTTGATAGTTCATCAAATAAAGTATGAAATTCAACAAGAAAAAAATTCGTTTTTATTTTAATTTTAATTTTTATAGGATTGGCGAGGTGGACATGGAGCTGCACAAAATATTATTCCATTATCAACCGATGTTGCTAAAAGTGTACGTTTATCTTTATTTATGTTTAATAGATATGGCACATGATTTTGATTTGATTAGATCGGAAAAGTAATTCCTGATTTGAATGGAAAATTAACTGGTATGGCTTTTCGTGTTCCAACACCAAATGTTTCAGTTGTTGATCTCACTGCTCGATTAAACAAAGGTGTAAGTCATGTTTTTATTTTTAGATTTAATTTATTTATTGAGGCTAAATATGAAGAAATTTGTGCTGCAATTAAAGAAGCTGCTAATGGTCCATTAAAAAATATTTTGGCATATACCGATGAAAAAGTTGTTTCAACAGATTTTATTGATGATACGCATTCATCAATTTTTGATGCTAAAGCTGGTATTTCGCTCAATGATAATTTTGTTAAACTTGTTGCATGGTACGTTTTCATTTATTTAACATTTTTTCATATGAGATGTCATATTCCTTTTTTTCAGGTATGATAATGAATATGGTTATTTTGATCGCGTGATCGATCTGATTAGATATATTGCCAAAAAAGATCATGAAGATAAACTTGAACAATCCTTCGAATGATCACGAACATATATTAATTAATTTTATCTAATTTAACTCTTTTTTTTATCATCCTTTAACTTAGCAAAAAAATTTTTTTATTCAATAACTTTTACTTCTAGTTTGTATTATTATTTGCATTCATCTGTGAAAAGAAATAAAAAGAGTTATACTTTTTTCTTTCAGATAAATTTAGATACACCTTTATTTTGCGTAGTTAAATTCAGTGCTTGTTAAGATTGCAATAATGCTTGTTAAGAAAAATCTTGTGTGTTTTTTTAATAGTAGCATTTAGATTGAAATAGGAAAATATCCCATACGAAAATTATTGAAGTTCGTAAATAAGTCCAGTCTAAAACTTTACTTGAAACAATGTAAACATTCCGGAAAGATTTATTATTATCAAGAGTTTAATCCATATAAATAAATATTATCATTTGAAAATATTAAAAAGGTCAATGCTGATTACAATAAAAAGCAATCTACAAAATCATTTCTGTCTTACATTGTTAAGTTTTCCACTCCAAAAGTTTTGTAAAAGGATCAAAAGCTTTTTCATGAAACGAAATACAACAAAGAAGTATCATTTTGAGTCACTTCATGCGGGCTTGATACAGCGCACGTTATACTTCTGCAGCCTGGTTTGTGTGAAGTGACACATACGTTAAGTGCACTATGGTATTATCAAGGTATAGTAGCGCATCATGGGTAACGATTGCGTTCAAACAATACCAGCTGACGAGATCATGGAAAATTCGCATTCGCGGCGGACTGAGTTATTCTTTACTATTTCGATAAGCAACATGTCTTCATACTGATTATAGACTTACAACGTTTATTTTCTTCCCTCACTAGCTCAAGTTAGAATAGATTGCGAATTGTCTAGTATTGTCTGACGAGTACAGGTGTGCGAATTCCCTGCTATTTTCTGACTAGTTTAGGTCACCAACTCGGTTAGGGAACGATTAACAGCGAATTCTCTACTATTCTCTGACGAGTTTAGGTCACCATCCAGGTTAGGTAACGATTAGGTATGTTACAAACCCAAACCCAAGCTACTTGGGTGTATAGACTTGGGTTTGGGGTACCCAAGTCTTACCCAAGTCCAGACTTGGGTATTGAGTTTGCCCTTGGTCAGTTGTCAAAAGACCATTCCTCTTCTTCTTCAAGTGCAACATATCAGTAGTAACTTGACGACTTTCTTCCATACGTTTCATTTGTCTCTTTCTGCTCATTGACCTTATTTTCCCTAACAAAAATCTGTTCTTTTTATAAAGGCTTTTGAATTGGGAAAGTACTGTCAGCTGAAATCTGTTCTGTACATGTATTGAAGACACTGAAAAATAACGATGATATTCACAAAGTAAATAGCATAAAAGAACTCAACTTTTTTAGACATCTCACCTAATTTAAAGAAAGTTTTTATCGTTACCGTCTTGCACACATATATCCACAGGACGAAAGAAAACACTGCGCATTCTGTTTTCACATGGACTACCATGAAATAAAGCATCTGCTAGGCTCTTATTAACCCAAGTCCAACACAATACCAAACCCAACTCTGACCCAAACCCAATACGCAATTCTATGGTTGGGTTGTAACATACTTAGTAACGATCGATAGCGAATGTTCTATTTAGAATATTCTCAAATCTCTCTTTTGGTATATAACAAATATAATAAAGACCGTCATAACAGTCCCAAGTTGCGCATGACTGACTCGAAAGTGACTGAATCTCGAGTCAGTTTATTAGGTTTATTGAGTCTTTCACCTCGAGTCCGAGTTTGAGTCCGCGTCACAGAAAAATTCGACTCCGATTCATGATTTGGACTCGCCCGTCTCTGTCAAGAACCTTTCCGATGGAAACACAAAATCTGTATTTTAAAAGAAGACAAATGTATCAGGTTAACTATGTCTTTATTTTAACTAAAGACTTTTGGCTGATTTCGCGCTGAGGACCCGCTTAAGAGGGGCAGACTCCCTGGTTTTTTACATTCCTTTGTTGCCCCTGTCGATTTACATATATTGTGAGACGTTTGAACCTCCCAGACACATTCTTCCCACTTTTTTAACTTTTAAAAATTTACAGAAATCTAAGGTTTTTTTTTAAAAACTTCACTGTTCATTAAAGAAGCGTATTTCAATGATAAGACTGGTTCCAATCGATCGTGGAGATCGAACTGCCCATATGCTAAAATTTTTTGTGAACTTTCAATAAAGTTCGGTGAACAAAAATTTTGTTTTTCCTTGAAATGTCGATTTTTCCGA